TAAATGAGAGAGACTTGGACGGAATGAACACTATTCTCCATTTGGCTGTCATGTTGAAGCGAGTTGAGGTACTTCTGACTTATTTTTATAATATAATTCTGCAGTACTATATTAATAGCTTGAGTTTATATATACAGCTAGACGCAAACAAAGTCTGCACTAAATTAGAATTTCGCATAATGAAAGAAGGATCATAACAAATATTCTCAGGGACCAAGTATCAATTATTCTATTCACTAATTTTGTCGAAACAAAAGACTGTGATCTTAATACCTGATAAACCACTTCAAATGCAAGAGCTTACTATTACATCTCATGAAGACCGCATATATCTGCTGCCCTATTCGCGTTTATATATATATTTCAATCTTTTATCTGTACTGTTATACCTCAAAAGCATTAAAAATATTTATATGTATTCATTTGATTATTGCTTAGACTGTGAGGTACCTCATGTCAATTCCTGAAATAAGAGAAGCAACAAACTTGACGAACAACATAGGTTACACTGCCCACGATATTCTTCAGCGAATTCCGCAGGACTTCCAGTGCCTCGAAATCCAGGTTATACTGATGAACTACTCTGGCATAAAAAAAAATGGAGGAACGAACACTCCTGCAGCACTGATGAATAATACTAATGTTGTCGGCCAACAACAAGGGAGACCTCGGAAGAAGTTTTGGAGAAATATTTTGAAGCGTATGGGAAAATGGTTCGATCATAATAGTGACAATAATTGGCTAGAAGACATGAGGGGGAATTTAAGTCTGGTGGCCACTGTCGTGGCAACCATAACATTTCAAGCTGTATTTAATCCTCCAGGAAATGTGATTCAACAGGGTATATTAGTCAGTTCCAACAGCACCATCAACGAAGAAGACAAAAATTTTACTGGTTTTATAGAATCAAGTCCCCTCGGCTGCTTGCCATTCAAGAGTAATGATGGTCACAACGTTACTCCGCAAGCATGTCCTGGAGAAGCTATGCTTGCTTCTCGTAATCCAGATGGCTTTCAGCATTTTGTATTTTGCAATACCATGTCCTTCATTGTGTCTCTTTGCATTGCCCTTTTGCTAGTAAGTGGAGTTCCTCTCAAAAACAAACTTGTTATGTGGATTTTATGTATAGCCATGTGTGTTGCTCTCACATTCCTCGCGTTTGCCTATTTTGACGCCCTCCTTCTGATCACTCCGCACAAACCTTGGTTTACTCCCACTGATTTAGCGGCTAGCATAGCAGGTGTCACTTGGGAAGGATTGCTTTTACTCGTTAGTGTGTACATCATAACACTCTTGGTTATCTGGTTAGTAAAGATTAAAAAGCATCGGATAAGAGCAACAGAAACGGAAACAGCTTTTGCTTGATATGACCTCAATCAATGCGTGTGTTGTTGAGGGAGTACTAATATCCCGGCAACAGAGGTTTTTCAAGATTATTGTAGTTGGTGGTGTTTGTATTGTCTGGGATGCTTTGTTAATTAGTGTCATTTAAATTTAAATTTGCAATAAAATTTTGTTTCTCTGCCGCAAGAGAAAGCAAAGATGTAAGAAAAGAAGAAGAAGATATTATTGTTCCTATATCTACTTAATTTTCGCTTGTGCTTGAGTTTTCATTGATGAGAGAGGAGTATAATCCCGGCTTTCCCTTATTATTTTATCTTATTATATTATTATATTCATAATTTTGGAAATAGATGTTGGTGATCAAATAGAGTAGAAAATTATATGTAATTAATTATTTATAGAGTAATCTTTAAGTACACTTGCAACAAAAAAAAAAAAGGAAAACAGTTGAAGACTATACATGTTTAATATTATATACAGCCCTTTTATGATCATAAGGGTTATGACAAATCCAACTTGATTATTGCGTGTATTACAAGCTTTCATGAGTAAAGGATTTGATACAAAATAGTAACAAATACTCCCTCCGGTCCTATATATAAGCTTTATTTTTGGAGATGGCCCTGGTTCAAAATATAAGCTTCATTTTTCAGTTTGTCTGAATATTTATTACTTTTTTCTTTTTTTTAGTTGACTGTATTTAGTACACACACTCTCTCATTAGTATTACCCCATATGTTCTCTTTCATCATGTTTGTATTTATTGCCTCTCATTTACTTTCTTAATAAATAGGGCAAATTTTTTTAAAAAAATCTATTTCTGACCTATTTATTATTTTGAACTAATTTTAACAGTTAGTTATATATAGGAGTGGAGGGAGTAGTACTAAATAAAACCTCAGCTCGCTAAGAATTTAAAAAAATGATATATAAAAGAATATTGCTAACGTATGCATTAATATAATTTACGAACACTAGCGTGACGTAAGTGATAATTTAGTTAACCAGGTAATTTAATATTCAAAGTTCGCTTTCTAGGCAAGACGTTTAATAATATTACGCATTATTGTATTAGCCAAATGCAGAAAAATCATCCTATGAGGGAAAAAAAAAAAAGATCATTGACCTATTGTGTGGTGCCGCTTTTGAGCCATCAAACAATACTAAATTATTTAAATTAGAAAAAAAAATGGGCTCTATGCTTCTATGCATAGATCCGTATTAATCACAAGTCAACTCTCTCTCTCTCTCTCTCTCTCTAAATATAATTAAGCTATTGTTTGAATTCTAAAAATTATATATACAAACCTATGTGCTAATTAATTTATATCAGTAGGTTAACGATGTTAGTGAAACTTTAACACTTATAATATGTTTTCCCCCTTTCTGCAAATTTTCTTTTCGGAAAAAAAGAGAGAGGTTGAATTGGTCAGAATCGGCCGAAAGAAATACAGCCTACGTCTTTGGATTGAATGGTTAACCGGGTGATGAGGATATTATTAGTGTAATGATCAAATGGACGGGTCAAAATTCAGAAAACAATATATTCAAGTAACATTGCCGATAGAGTATAAATTTATTATTCCAATGGTGTGATGTTACGTTCACAAACTGAGTCCTGGACAATGCTTTCACATAATTCCGCAGAACTAGAAAATACTCAAGAGGATTCGCCACATCAAATTGTTTTAAAAAAATACATAAATAAAACAATTGCAACATCCCATTTATGGTTTAGTTTATTAGCCAAATAAATTCCATCTGTCACTAAATAAGAACTCAATGAATGTATTGTTTAAAATAAGATGATGAAATATAAATATATTTATCATATCTTTTAATTTTAGCAACCCTGAAGACTATTCAGCTGCACACCTGATTAGAGTAATCAACGATTAGAACATTAAGAAATCAACGCAACATACTTTGACAGATTCTTTCAAAATTATGTGTGCGCGTGTATATATATAATGAAGCATACCTACACCTTTGGCATTCACGCAAGCGAGACAATCAATAATCAAAATGGGAACTTCTCATCGTGAAGAAGACACATTGAGCATTCTTTATGAAGCATCACGCAGAGGGTCTTTATCAACTTTGAACTCAATTTTGCAAAAAGAACCATTAATCCTCCACAAGATCTCACAAAGTGGCTTCACCGAAACTCCTTTACACATGTCAGCTTTGCTTGGCCACCTTGAATTCACCAAGGCGCTTCTCACATACAAACCCAAACTAGCAATTGAGGTTGATTCTTCCAAGAACACACCCCTCCACTTGGCTTCTGCAGAAGGTCACATCGACATCGTGAAGGAACTTCTTAAAGTTAATAACAAGCCATGCTTGTTTCCTAATGAAGAGGGGAAAATTCCTTTGCACTATGCAGTTATCAGAGGGAGAATAGAGGTTGTGAAAGAGTTGGTAAAAGCGAAGCCTGAGTCTCTGAGCTTTCTTGATGACGGAAACACTGTATTTCACTTGTGTGTGATACACAATCGTTTGGAGACTCTTAAAGGTTTGGTGGAATTGGAACTTGCCATTTCTGGGAAGCTTCTTTACTTCACAAGTTCTGATGGAGTGGGGAACACCGTTCTCCATTTAGCTGTCACGTCCAGGCAAGTTGAGGTATGATTGATATTATCCTTCCTATTATATCTTTATATACATATATATATATATATATATAGTTTTCTTCTTACATGAAAGGGTTATATTTTCCGAGAATTATTGGCTGAAACGATAAATCGGAGTATTAGTGTGATTTCATTGTGTCATAGATTAAGACAGATGCAGTTCATCACATGACGATATTTTACGGACTGAGATAAAAGTTGAATAAAAAAATCCGAATTTTACCATATAGCTAGCTAGTTTGGTTATTTAATTTAATAACCATTATTAATAAGAAAAAAGTGGTTGTAATGTTCAGTTTATAATTTACTCCCTCTAGATAGTTTGCTGATTTTACCCGATAGTCGAATCACCGGCAAATTAAGCCGTTAGCCGCCTGGTCAGATGGATGATAGCGTCGATGGAGGAAAGATCAAAGAAATTTCGGATTAATGGGTTATAAGGAAGGAAATGGAGCCCATCTTCAAATGACCCCACCCTGGCCGATTATAATACTACTCAATAATTCATTTATTGTTATTATATTACAGATAATTTGACTTTATGCTCAAGTTTGAAATATTTAAATAGGAGGAAAAGATGAAATTGAAATGCAAAGCTTCGACTCATGTGATTCGTTGGTGAGTTTGGATTTTTACTATTCTCTTCTTTTTGTCGTTTACTTCTCCTTTTTTTTTTTGGTCAGCCAAACGATATATCCTCTCTTTCTTGTTTTCTTTCTTTCTAATTATTTTCGTTTTAGCAAATCAAGAAATATGAACAGAGATATATATGTGTGCGCGCGCGCGCGCTTCGTCTTCCAATTTTTTCTTGCCATGAGATGAAAGAAAATTACCGCAAAGGGAAAATAAGCCACTTCGATCCAGCTGATGAGTTAATGAGTTTATTGGGCAAAATAAGCAAACTAAAGATAAATTATAAAATAAAAAAATATTTTAAAAATATTTGGGTCCAATGTTTTTGCCCCAGAATCATATGACACCTCCATAATATATACTAACATGCATGTTTATTATTTCAGACTATAAGGTACCTCTTATCAATTACAGAAGTAACAGAAATGGCAAGTTTGGAGAACGACATGGGTCTCACTGCCTATGAAATCCTTAAACGCAGCCCGAAAGATTTCAAAACCCTCGAAATTCAAGTCATGCTGATGGAATATTCTGGAACCAGAGATGATGAAAAGAACGGAATCCACACTCCTTCTCACACGTCACCGCCAGTTGCAAGACCTCGAATTCGAAGAAAGAAGAAGAAGAAGAGAAACTGTTTGATAAGGCTTTTGAAATGGATTGGAGGTTGGTTCAAACACAAGGGTGACTGGGTAGAAGAAATGAGGGGAAATCTGAGTTTAGTGTCTACCGTTATAGCCACCATAACATTTCAATCATTAGTTAACCCACCTGGTGGCTTCATCCAACAAGGTTTATCTCAAGGTCCATCCAATATTGAAGCCCTAAACTGCACTGTCCTTTCTAACAACAAGTCCTATTGCCCTGGGGAAGCTGTCTCATCTTTTCATTCCCAAAGTTTGTTTCTGGAGTACGTAATTTACAATACCATCTCCTTCATTTCATCACTTAGCGTCACCCTCTTGCTTATAAGTGGAGTTCCTATGAAGAACAAAGCTTTGATATGGCTTCTATCCATAGGCATGTGTATCACTCTCACAACCCTAGCCCTTGCCTACTTAGTTGCCCTCCTAATGGTCATGCCAGATCATCTTCGGAATAATAAAGCAGCTTTGATCACCATTTTAGCTTCAATATTGTCCTGGGCTGGATTGCTTGTGCTCGTTCTGGTGTTAATCACACTGCGCTTTATAATTTGGATTGTGAAGAAATTTGTCAGAGCAATCAAAAAACTGTTTACTTGTGGAATTAGGGAAAGTTGATGCTGTTTTTCTTCACATATCACATTTCAACTAATGCTATTACCGGGCCGCGCTCAGGTGGCGTGGGTTGCTCTTACGATTATTATATGTGGGTTATGTTTCCCTTCGTGTAATAACATTATTCTGTTTTGAGTTTCCACTTGTAATAAAATTATTTTTCGATAATTTAACTATGTTATCTTCATCTACAAATTGAAGTTTTCTGATTAAGATGTGTTTGGGTAGAACTCGCATTTATGAACGTTGGCATCAAAATAGGGAAGAATGGAATTGATAACGCTCAACATGTTGGAAGAGAAATGACAGTATTTCACAAACATCTGAAAATGAAATGGGAAATTGGTTTAAATATAAGGATGATTGAGTAGAAGACATGAGAGGGAATATGAGTCTGGTGATCAAATGTTAATCAAATATTACATTTCAAGTTTTAATAAACCCCCGTGGTGGCTTAATTCACCAAGGTTTATCTCAAGAATTGATTACATCATCAAATGTTTTGATGGTGGTTATGGTTCTTTGAAAAGTAGAAGACCGAGAGATGAGGAAAAAAGTTATGCACTACATCTTGAAGGTGTAAACAACACTTTCTTTTAATTTATTTCGCCCCTACCTATTTTGATCTTTCGTTAGCATTTTTTTTTTTAAAAAAAGTCACAATATATGTTACTTCATGAAGACTAACGTCCCCCTTATATGTAGAAATTTCTTAAAATAACACAACATTTTACCATGTTGTAACTCTTGGCACAGCCTTTTATATAAATTTCTTAATTTATAAAAACATGACCTTTTAAAAAACACATCTCTTCACTTTAAAAACATTCCAACATGCTTTACTTCGCATGGCCTGAGCTGGATTGTTTGTGAAGAAATACGTCAGGATAATCAAGAAGATCTCTATGCAAACGACCAAGGAATGAGAGCGAACATATGTGTTTCGTATATGATTTATTTTTCAATTAATGTGTTTTGTTGTTTGGCACTGGGCGGCAAACGTTGTGGATTAATTTTACTGTTGACGGACTAATGAATTCTTATTTTATTTGTGTTTACATGGTTTACTTCGTAAGCTTTAGGACACTTATGATTATTTGGCTTAATGTTAAAAGATTTGATTGAATTATTTTTCATGTGTTAATTAAAAATTTAGGCAAGTTAAATCACTTTATATTAGAGAGAGAGAGAGAGAGAGAGTTTTTCTAGCAGAACTAAAATTTCATGGAATTTTCATTCGGCAGGGGTCACAATTCCTCTCCATTTAACCGACATCTATTACCAAACACCTTTTTAGCTAACCCTAAACTAAGTTGGGAGGTTGCAAACGTTAGGCGACGATTAAAAAAAGCGGGTTGTGAGACAGCGAACAGAAAAAGAAGAAAGCAGAAGGGGAAGTCGCAAGCTGCAGAAACCATTAGGTTCAAATTTCTGTTAGAAGTATCCACATTTAGTATTTAATAGTATTTTAAAGTGGATGATCTTCAATAAGAGAATATTTGTGTCTAAGAAAAACTACATTCGTCTTCTTTTTGAAGAAAAAAGGGAACTTCGTATGAATACTTGAAGGTAAACAATCCGCCTCGTAGACTCGTGGCTTCCAGGAGAGGTTGCTACCTTATCTAGCAAGGCGCGATCGAGTTCGAATAGGACAGGGATCGGAGGTAATATATGAACGTAAACGATCCAAAATACTCTTATAAGGAGGGGAAAAAAAAAGTTCCAAAATACACATATAGGAGGAGATGAGATGAGATGAGATGGAATCAAAGAGGCATTAACTTTCACGAAGAAACGTTTCAAATTATTTTCATATCAAACAAATTGATTCATTAGAGTGAGACATTCATTTTACGTTTAAGGTTCAATGTGATGAGCATAAACTCAAAAAGAAAGTTCAATCCCCAAAGGCTAGCATATTAGAAGAAAGAATTCCTTAAACTTATAAACTCCACTTCCCCAATGTGAGACACATAACATTCAAATATGGGAATTATTATTCTCTCCCTTTGCAGTCAGTCCTCTTCATTTCATGAGCTGCCAAAATATTTTAAATTTTATGTGAAAAGCAATAAATTGAGTACTTCTTTTTTAATTACAAAGGCAAGATTAAGTTGAGGTTACAAAATCAGATTTAAACTAAGTCGTCCCTCATCAGCCGAGCCTAAGATAGTGAGTGATGCCTATCCATCCATCAGAGTAGTAATTAGATGATAAGTTTCCAATGAGTCGGTATGAGCCTATGCAAGTCTGCAGTACAGTGTGAATTGCCAAAAAATTGAATCCCACCAAAAATTGAGTAATTCCTACACGTTCCTCCCCAGCTATTCAATGATTGTCAGTTTCCAATTAATTCGTTGGATGAAGGAAGTAATAAGTTGAAAGTTCAACCATATATGTTTCATTGTTTTGTTAGATGATGGTAGTAAATGCTTCTTGTCCTTCTAGCCTCTCTGTTCTCATCAATCTGAACAAGTGATTATCTAAATAACTAAGACGTAATTAACTGAAACAAAAGTCATGAGAACGCTGTTCATACTTTTAGAAATTCTGGCAAATAATGGGAAAACAAAGTCAGATACAATTGTTCAATTCAAATTTCAAGTCAGAAAATTCTTCATGTATGTAATTAATTAAAGAGCATCAAATTGCAACCGTTTTTACTTATTTATTTTAAACAATATTTTTTGAACAACGTGCGTATATTATTTTGGTTGTATTCCTTGGTTTTCTATTTGTAATTTAATGTTCCGTGAAAAATGATTATATGCCGGTGAGTGTGAGAGACGCGGTGAGCTGGCCGCTGGCAGGAGGGCTTTTTTTCATATTGGTCAATGTGGGATCTAATCTCTCCACAGCCTAACCATCTTAAAATTTAGAGTGATCACATTGAGCCACAAATGTTTTGTCATCAAATTGGTGCAAAATAATAAATAACCTCCAGTCTTAAATATAAAATCTCATTTGTAGTTTAATTTACACTACAAACAGGATCTTATATTTAGAAGTCGAAGGAGGTAATATATTGTTACTTATTTAATTTTTATTAGAGGTGATTTATACCTTTTATATAGATATTAGACTACATTTTATTCCTATTAACAACTTCTGTTTAGCAAATAAAAAGGCTACTTTTTAGGCCATTTACAACTTTTACTTTGTACAGATTTTGACTACACTTATTAATTATTAAAACTTTTGCTCACCAAGTAAAAAGACTACTCTGTAGGTCATTCACAGCTTTTGTTAAATGAAACTAATGATTTTAAAATTAAAAGACCAAAATTGTGCTTTATAATTGTAAGGGACTAAATTAAAGCTAAATGCAAATTTAGAGGACAAATTATATATTTTTAGCCAAAAATTAATTACTTAAATTTTGTAATAGGAATGCAAAATTTTTTATATTTTATCTTATAAAAGAGAAATAAATTGAGTATTTCCTACTCTTCGTTTCTCCTGTCTTTACAGTGACAGGCAGTTTGTAATTAATGTCGACACATGCATCTTATTAATTCGTTAGATGAAGGCAATAATAATTTGAAATTTCAAGGGTATGTGTAAATGCTTCTCTTCATTCTAACCTCTATTTTCTTATCAATTGAATTAGTGATTGTCTAAATAATCAAGACGTGGTTGACTGAAACAAAATTCATGAGACACAAGAAGATATAAATTGCTCATACTTTCAGGAATTCTGGCAACTAGTGAAAAAATTATACATGCTTGTTCTTTTGGCTCAATTTTGTGTAAGAAAATTCGAGCATCAAAAATAATATATTTCAACTATTCAATTCGAACTGTAACCATTATATCTATTTATTTTTAATAATATATTATTTGAACTGCATTTTCACATTGATTTTTAATTATGTTCAGGTTATGCAATAATGTACACCTCCGATTTTAAATATAAGACCTATTTTATAGTTTAAGGTTTGGAGGGAAGTTATAAGCATTACGTTCATGCATAGCTTCCATAAAGACTGGAGGGAGTATTATATTTTCATTATCCAAACATTCTAATTAATGATCCAAAACTAGAGTAGCAAGTTTAGAATTCTAAGAAAATTTACGTCAATTTTTTTTTAAAAAATCGTCAGTGTATAATATATAATTCATAAAGTTGTGCTATTCATCATTCATCAATCATATATAATATAATTCATTTCTCAAAGGTCATGCTACATAGGTAAAATATAATACAGTAGACAGTGTTGATGCCATTTCGTTTTTCTTTTTTGATAAAACGAAGATATATATAATTAATAAAAAGTACACTTTACAGGACTACATCAGAATAACTAGCAAAGGAAAACAGAAAAAATTCCTAACAAAATCACAAATAAAAGAACAACTATCATAATTTTGAAAGGATTCGAGTATCAACAAAACGTCTTGTGCAAGAGTGAAGTAGATCCTGTATAGAAAGAGCATAGATTGATGAACTTTTTCTTTGTGCAAATGATAAGAAGAGGTTTCCTGTGATTTAAAATTGGTATATATGATAGAATCCAATAAGTCATCATACGGAAGCAAAGAGCACAGAAGGAGTCATGAGCAGCCTTAGAGCGCAAACAAGAAAATTTATGAACTGGAGAACCTCTCAAGCATAGGATGCCATAGCAGAAAACCTTTCTAATCCTCTTCTTCTCTTTTGATAAAATAATGAACTGCAGAAAGGCTACGCTGCTGAACAGGTCTATTATGATGACAATAAAATGCCAACCTTATGAATGGCAGATTTTCTAGAATCTCCTTGATTACAGCTTCTGGCCATTTCGTTTATTTACACATGCAACAACAGTAGAGGAATATATAGAAATAACGCGTGGCACTAATATAACAAAAAAGTGATTACCCAAATATTTTCTTTTTATTTTCAAAGATTTCAAAAGCAATAGATATTTCGCTCAATTATAAGGATGGATATTTTTTTCCAACCAAAAACAGATTTTATTAATATGGATCCAACAAAGTATGCGTCACCAACATAACAAAAA